GTGATGATGATGATGATGATGATGATGATGATGATGATGATGATGATGATGATGATGATGATGATGATCAAAACCCTACATCCTCCCACTGCCTTGTAGGTCAGACTTTTGAGTCAAAGGCTCAAGGTGGGGTACCTCAACTAAACTCCCCTTCTTTGGCCTGGACAACCGGGAAGTCCTTACAGCTCTTCGCCCACCGGCCTTCCCCTCATTGCCTCCCAACCCATCGTACAGTGCAATGCATTTAGCCCATCTGCCGATCCCCTAGCCACTGTTCCGGGTCTCAACCACCGCGGAGAAGAATAAACCAAAATAATCACCTACTAACCTCAAACGATTTGATCCACGTTGCAGCTTTTAATGTCCGTACTCTATGTCAAATTGGGCAACAGGCACTCATGCTGAAACCTTACTTTCCGTCTCTATCGATGTATATTGTGCCTCCGAAAAACACATACAAGACCCCACTTCGGTTGTGCTCCTCAAGCCGCTTAGAACGAGCCCAGATGTTCCACATTTCACTCTTCGGACATCCGGTGTTCCTGTTCCGTGGTATCCACGGTGTGGGAGTTACACTCAGCCCCAAGGCTGAAAGTGCCTTGCTAGACTGAATCCCAGCAAACAGTTGCCCGTGTGCCTCATTGAAGGATTGTCGTTCCTTCTGGGGTGCGCAACTTGACTCTGATTACGCCATCGTGCTCATTCCCCACTTCGCTTTCCGCCGGCACTATGCGTGCCGGAAGGGAGCAGCTCCGTTCATCATATTCGACAAGTTTCAATAGCTGAAGACTATCAAGCTGATCTGGCTAGAAAGCTACGAGGAACGCACAGTCATCAGGACGACGAAGGTTGCTTGGAGGATGAATAGGAGCGAGTTAAAGAAGCAATACTGCCAGCTTTCAGAACTTTTGTCCAACCCATCTGACTCGATCCAATGAACACTGAATATCTTCGAGCTCAGCAGTTCTTATTGCTGCCAGAAAGGCCATGCCAACAACTAGCGACTATGGTGGCGGATGCAGGTCAATCAAACACGGGATAATCAGGATCTTAAAGAATGACAGAGAACGCTGATGGGTTTCGAAGGCCTAGGAGATGGAGAAAGCTTTCGCTGCAGGTAACAGCCGTACTCTGTTTCAACTGACCCGATCAGCGTGTCAAAAGAAGACAGGTATCAGTGAGACAATGTGCGTAAAAGACGGAACAGCCATTCACTCCCCCAGTCGTCGTCTTGAGCGGTGGGCTGCGCACTTCCAAGAGCAGATCACTTGGTCTCGTTCAACACAACAGCTGGAAGAACCAAGCGGGCCTGAATGGAACATTGACAGCAACCCACCATCAGCAACCGAAATCCAGCGTGAGATTTCAATCCTGAAGCGCGACAAGGCACCTGGCTCGGATGGTCTGCATCTCGCGCTCTTCAAAGAAGGTGGGGAGGTCCTGGTGAACAGTCCGACAACCATATTTCAGAAGATTTGGAACGAGAACAGAATACTAGCCGAGTGGAGCTCCTCGACCGTCATCCCGACCGTCATTCAAAAAAGGCACAAGAACATAATGTGGAAACTACTGTGGTATCAGCGTGGTACCCGTCGCATCTAAGGTGCTCTCTGGCATTATTTTGCGCAGGTCGATGGATAATTGAGAGAGAGATTTGTGAGAATCAGGCTGGGTTTCGCCCTAGTCGAGGATGTATCGACCTTTACCTTAAGACAAATTCTTCAACAGCGCCACTCCTTTAGATGTCCCACGTTGATTTTCTGGATTTTAAAACTGTTTTTGATTTTGTCGATCAACGGTGTCCCAAGTTTCCCTTATGAGGGCACTGTAGGCGATGTGGGCGTGTGCCACTCCTTTAGATGTCCCACGTTGATTTTCTGGATTTTAAAACTGTTTTTGATTTTGTCGATCAACGGTGTCCCAAGTTTCCCTTATGAGGGCACTGTAGGCGAACTCCTGTGGGCGTGTACGAGTATACGGGAAGTCCTCGCTTGTGTTCACATCCAGTGGTATAAGCTAGGGCTGTCCTCTTTCCTATTTCCTCTTCAACTTTGTTATTGACATGCTGGCCGAAACCTCCCTGCCTGCCTCTGAAAACTCGGGATTCGGAATGCTCCCGGGACTCTCCCTCACAGACATTGGGTATGCAGACGATATTGCTGTCCCTGGTTCAGATCCTTCTCAAATGCAGAAGATTTGAAATAACGTAAATAGCTCTACCGCACTGTTTGGCGTGTACTTCACATCTTCAAAGTGTGAAGTGCTGCTACAAGACTGGGTGAAATCAAACCCAAAGCTCATGCTTGCAAGTGAGCCAATCGACGTGGTAGATAAATTTTTTTATCTGGACAGTTTTATAGGTTCCGGTGGATTGGCTGGAGATGCGGTTATCTCTCAAATCACAAAGGCCAGGACAGCTTTTTCCAACCTCCAACACCTATGTGGCCGACGTGACGTGAACTTGTCTGTCAAGGGAAGAGTTTACACTGCGGTGGTGAGATCCGTACTGCTTTACAGATCAGAAACGTGACCCCTACGCGCAGAGGACATACGGAGGATGTCAGTATTTAGCCATCGGTGTCTCCGCAGCATCGGCCGGGTCTGGTGGGAACACCGAATTAGTAATGCTGAGGCACATCAGATGGTCTTAGGAAAAAAGAACTCTTCTGCGATAAATGAATTAATCACGCTTCATGGTTTGCGCTGGTTGGGACATGTACCCCACTCAGCCCGGTACTGAGTGGAAGCGACCGAGAGGTGGACGGTGTATGACCTGACAACGAAGTACGAAAACCAACTAGTAAACTGGGAAACAGAGCAAATGCCGCCTTCCTGGATGGGGACCCCGAAACTCAACTCTCTATTGGTTACTGACATTGACGGAAATGGCGTAATCGTGCAGTCAATTGAGCTCGTGCACCAACACTATCGCCTTCAATACGTAGCTACTCAAACTGAACATGCGTTCGCCTCCCGTTTTCCGGTGATCGAAACTATAGCGCCTGGAACCAATGTACCCATGGCACACGGTTTATGGCTGATAAATTGATTGACTGATTGATTGATTGCCTTTGGGTGAGGCCGACTCCTTGTTGCTGAGCCGGTCACACAACTGAGTCATCGGCTTCGGGAAGGGTCCATAAGGAAAACCCTACTGCGCACTGTCCCGCGTGTTGGATTTTCGTGTCAGTGGCTAGGGACAGGACTCCCGAACAAAACACTACATCCTATCACTGCCTTGTGCACTAGACTTTTGACTCAAGGGCTAAAGTTGGGGCACCTCAACCGAAGCCCTTTCCTCGACCGGGGCAACCGGGAGGTATCATTTGCGAGCACAGTGGTTTGTTCACCGACGTCCCTTCCCAATCCCCTCCCACTATACAAGCAAATGTTGCTGGGTCATTTGACTGTCAGTTACGTGACCGAGAGGTCGAGAAGGATTTTGCTACGGCAAACGGCCGTACCCAATATTAACTGATACGGGAAGCAACGGTCAACGAAACGATAAGTGAAAAAGATGGCTCATTAATTCACTTCCAGATACGTCGACTGAAAAGGTGGGCCGAACACTTCGAAGAGCAGTTCAGTTGGCCTCCTGGAACACAGACTAGGGATATTGTATGCGGGTGAATGAAGTGCAAGCCTCAATCGCCCCTTGGAAGAAAAAATAAAGTACGAAATATCCGTACTGAAACGTGGGAAGGCACTAGGACCGGACGGTGTGTATCTAACCTTCTTCAAAGAAGGCGCAGAATCCCTGATGACCAATCCAACAACACTAATCGGTGTGATGTGGAGTGAAGTTTAAGTGCTGCTAGAAGACTGGGTGAGAGTAAACCGAAACCTCCTGCTTGCGGATGAGTCGATCAACGTGGTAGATAAATTTGTTTACCTGGGGACGAGATGTCTCAGCGGTTAGAGCGCGAAGGTCCGTGGTTCGAACCCGACTTCTGCATCTCGACTTCCTCCGTCTAGGCTTGGGCAACCTGGCAGTATCCCAGCCCTTGCACCTCTTTCGAGGTGCATGGCAGCTTAGCACTGCAGGGGTGTTACAGCTGAACGCTTTTTCACCTGGACAGCTGTATAAGTTCTGGTACACTGGCTGGAGATTAGATTGCCTCGCAAATTGGGAAAGTCGGGGTAACTTTTAAGAACCTTTGGACACATTGTGGAGAGTTAACATCAGTTCATGTCTGAAGGGCAGAATTTGAACCGCGGTAGTGCGATCGACGATGCCTTGTGGGTCAAAACTGCGTAGAGAACATACGAAAGTTGTTAGCGTCTGACAGTCGGTGTCTCGTGAGCATTGGTCAGGTGTGTTGGGAATATGGGCTTGATAATGCCGAGGCAGCCCAGATGATTTTAGTGAGAATGAAGTCCCCCACGGTATATTAATTACTCACGCTTCGTGAGTTCCGGCGGTTAGGACGTGTACTCTGCATGCTAGAAGACCACCTGGTTCGCAGAGTCGTTTTCGTCCAGCCCTGTGCTGATTTGAAGCAACCGAGAGGTGAGGAGCAGTTACCTTTCCATGAAGTATGAAAGCACTAACCAGCAAACTGTGTCGGGGCGCATTCCTGGATGGGAACCCCCGCACACAACTTACCGATGGTTAATTGCACTGGCAGAGATGGCTGAATCGCGTAGTCGGTGGCAGTCATGCATCATTGCTTAAGTTCCCAGTTTTCCGGACTAAGTGGTTATGTCAAAAATGTTTAAGCTTGGGGTTTTCCCCCTGCTGTCACGCGTTCCGACGGCCTTTACTGTAGCAACTGGAACCTATTTACCCGTGGCGCATGGTTTATAGCTGATGAATTAGGGTAAAATGAATTGAATTGTGTCAACCACGGGGACCGGTGTCATAAATTTACTTTCTGGCAGCCTAAGTGGATCTCAGCCATGTTCCATCTTGTGCTAACCTATTCGGTAATTTTGATGGGCTTTGATTGATTCGATTTAGACAGTTCATCATCATCATCAAGGACAGCAACATCAGTGTTGCCACTGATGTTTCACTGCCACCCATAAGGTGGCAACCATAAGGTTTGCCTAGTTATATATATATATATATATAATTGTATTAAAAGCCCTACAGTGAAGGGAAGAGAAAAAGAGTGGGTGAGGGAGGGGACCTAGTGCTGGCCTATGTCAAGCATACTGAGGTGCCTACACCTCCAACCGCTCAATCAGACA